GTATATGCAATTTCACCATCACTTTCAGTTGAAAATATATATCTCGCTACGTGACAGAATCAAAGTCAAGATAATATTCTGCACAATAGAAAGAAATATATTTTACTGTTACAAATTGAAATGCGCAAAAACACTGAATTATTCGAAAGACGTCGTTTTTCTTGAATAAAGGTTTTCAGAAAAACCTCTGTAAAACCCTTAAAATCCATCTTAAACAAAATAAACTACAGTGGATTCGATAGCGGACGTGATGCTCTATCACATGCGCCATTAAAAAAAATCGATAAATTTGACAGAAATCAACTTTTTTTGGGTGGGGGGGTGGGCCTTAAGGATGGAATTTTTTTCGATCAAAAAAAAAAAAAAACATTTTTCAACCTTTTATTTTATTTTAACTCAAAATGGCTGCATAAAAATCTTATGAAAATAAAAAAAAAAAACAATTTTTCTACCTTTTACACAAAGTGGTAGTTTTCAAGTAAAGCTCATCTAAGTTATCGGCTAGTTCATTGTATTCGAAAACGAAGTCACTCTCGCTGTTATCATCACTGGCATATGAATCACAGGACTCATTCCCAACTTCATTATTTCTACAGAATTTCATTTTTTTAATTTTACGTTAAAAACGGTACAAAGAAATAAAGAGTACAAATTCGAAAGAGAAATGATATACTTTGCGAATTCAAGAACAACGTAAATTCGCCAATAAGAATAGGAGTATATAATGCACCCAGTAGAGAATGAGAATATTCTCGAAAAACAAAAGATCATAAGAGAAGAGAGAAATCATGATGTTACTATCTCAGCAGCAAGAACAAGGGATATTTGAAAAAAATTTATATGAGAGAAGGAAAGAAACTAAAGAAAAGTATAAGATAACAAATGCAGTTGTTTATGACCTTCTTGGCCTTACATATTTAATAGTTTAATGTGAACTAAACACTTTTTTCTCTACTAAAAGATAGGTAGGACAAGGTATGTCCCACTGCCCTCAAAGAGTTAATATGATCTATGAACAGTCCTTTATCGTTAATGAAAGAATTAGTTCATTTGATAAAAATATAGTGAAGGTTTTCAATTTTTTTCTTCGGTGAAGTGACTTTTGGACCACCATGTACATTTCAAAACATTCACACAAAAGAACAAAATAAAAACAAAATCAGAAAAAAAATTGAAAAATCAAAAGCAACCCAAAAACTCATAGGATGACTAGAGAAATATTCAAAAATCTAAATTTTTTCTTCTAAATAGGGGATCTAGCGATCCTAGTTATAGTCAAATTTTTGTTAGATATCCAAAAGAAATTGAATATAGAAAGAAAATCTCAAAAAACAGAAAAAAATCAAAAATCGAAAAAGTAATCAGAAAAAAGTTCGAAAATCGGAAGAAATCAGAAGGTCGGAAAGTCATCAGAAAAGACTTCAAAAATCGGAATTTTTCCTGCCAGATCGGAAGATCTGATCACCTTGCTCACATCACCTGGCTCAATTGTGCTAAATCGTTTGAGAAAAAAACAAGTACCGAGATTACCAAAGTTAATCGATGATCAATAGAATGGATTATTTTTTATATCACGCTATTTATCTTAATTAACTTTGTTTCAATGTTCTTTCTTTATAGATACATATTCCATACACGAAAGCCTTAGTTTTTATTTTTATTTTTAGTTGGGAAAATCTTTTCGAAATAATTTTAGCGTTTGAGGAAATTTTTCGTTTTTACCGCAGATTCTACACTTCTGCTTTTAACTTTTATCTTATTTATTCATCCAAAATATTGATTTCTCTATTAAATTGATTGCTAACATTCACTGTCAATACCATCATATTCATAAAAATCTCGTTCTTTTAATAGATATATAATTCAATAGATGCCTTACAAAAATATTCTGCTTATAACTATAAATCATCAAGACTATATGAAGTCTTGTTTTCAATAACTTATTCATTATCTGTTTCATCGCTTTCAAAAATCTTAACACATTTTATTAGATAAATATACTTTGATGATTCGATTATTTGTATAGTGAATATCACTAGATAAGAACAAAAAATAAATATCTGGAAATTATTAATTGATCCTTTTATCTTATATAGAATGTACACACAACAGCAATATTAATCATAAGAATGAACAAGAACAATGATTAAGGAAAAAATAATAATGATTATATCCAAAGTCACGAAAATTTATGATAATTTTTTCTTGTTTTTTTTTGTTTGTGTATGTTTATGATTATGATCATTGTTGTTGTTTAATCGTTTCATTGATGAATTTAAAGTAATTATATTACTACTAAAATAGATCAAACAAAAGTTAAATATTTTGTCAGATATACATTTCTATAGGGAGTAACTTACCATCGATCTTGACGAGATGTACATTGTTTTTCAATTTCTTTATTAATTAAATCATTCCAATATTTATCTGTTTCTTCACGATATGCTTTAGTTTTATTAATCTTTGTTTGTATTTCATTCATCTCTTTCAATGCTAATTTCTTTTTTAATCCTGCTGATTCTATTTTAGTAGAACAGGAGGCTATACATTCCCGAGCTGATGCCATCTGTGCATTAGCTGATGCCATCTGTGCATTAGCTGATGCCATCCGTTCAGTAGCTGATGCCATAAGTGCATTAGAAGATTTCAAAATTTCATTCGTTGATTTAATTCCAACATTAATTTTATTCAATTCATCTTTTAGTTTATTAATATGAGCCTTAAATTTAGCTGTGTCTTCAGCAAATTGTTTTTCTAGTTCAAATACCCATTCAGGTGTTGTTTCCTAAAAGATAAATAATAGAAAGATCTATCAGATAGTATTAAATAAAGATGCCATTTAGATGTATTTTGTTGTTTAATGAAAGTAATTTCGTTTTTTGTTTTACATAGTCAAATCATTTTAATGATTCTGAAAGAATTATATTTGATTTTCGTTGCAATAAGTTTTATATTTAAACTACGTAGAAAAATAGTTGAATCGATGTAACTATTAAATGTTTTATAAACTAACATCAGATGTTTATAGCTAAACGATTGCAATCGAAATGATTCTAACATTGGAATACAATATTATCAAGTTACAAGTTCAAATATTAATATATAGGCTTTTCTATAGATTCTAAAAAGCTTATTGTATTACTCATATGTCAATCACTGCTACTATATAAACAATATTGTTGAAACGAAGATATGTATGAAACAATTTATCTAAAAGTTTTGATCTTGAAATGTCTGACTGTTGAAAATATTCTGTAGTATAACTATAAATTTATCCTTTTCCTTCTGAAATATTCATTAAACCTCCCCACAGAATAGAAGCCCAGTCTGAAGGTTATAACTTTCCAGACATATTAGAAATCCACCCTATCCAAAATAAGCATAAAATATATAATTTTAAAAATTGGATAAATTAGTCCATTGCTTCTTACTATTTTATTGTACGTCAATTTACATGTTTAATTTTCTTTACGTTGCATAGTTTTTGTCAACAGAAAAATGGATGTCTTTCAAATGTTAACAAATTTTTACGTATATGTATTAATAAAACATAATTGTCTAAAAACTATTGAATAGAAATTGCGATATGTATAAATTTGGTAGAAATAAACATATCGAAAAAAATATCGAAAGTATTATTAATATCCCTTTAGGACATACTAATCATATGGAAATGCAAGACATAGATCCTTCTGCAGATTATTCACGTGATGTTGATGAACGAGTGTGGTGAAGCTGCATTAATAGTACTTTCGATATTTTTTACTTTCGGCGTTTTTTTATTTCTACCAAATTTAGGCCATTCAAAATTGGACATGTAATAATATCGTTCTGTTAGATTTCTTCCTCTTACAAGATTATGTACAACTCAGAAACGAAATGTTGAGATTTTTTATTGACTTAATAGCAATATGAGCAAATCTTTGATTGAAGGATGAGACTTTTGAGAAATCTACCCTATGAACACTATGAATTACACGATAAGTTATTAGATTTAAAAATAAATGTCAGTGTTGGATGATGTAATATCAATTGTTATAATACTTATTAAATTTGGATAACTTCTCTCTCAACCAGTGAAAGATCTTTATTGTGTGGTCACAGGTTTATTCTTTATTTTATATTTCTGCGATGACAATTAAAATATGTTTCGCTTCGTATCCAGATTGTGCATAAGCTATCATGGTGAAGTCGTCTAGCTGAACTATACTAATGTATGTCCAATAGAAATCTCTTTTAAATTCCTTCAAAGCTTCACACGCCCAAAATCAACATATGGTGGATGTGGAACGCAATTTTTCGTATTCATAGAAAGATCCACGAAATACTGAGGGTAGATGAGTATGTCAATGTAAAACGTCATATAAATAGTGTACTACTTTGTCGATTTGATAATGTATAATCGAGAAAGAATTAGTAACCATTTCTTAGTTCCTAAGAAACTATGATAGGTATTCCGAAAGTTATCAGACAACTTGCTAATTTCGATTTGTAAATTTTTATGGCCTTTTGTGCCTATAAGTCAATTAAATCTTAGCTGCAGTATAAAAAAAAGTTGATCACAATAAAAGCCCATGTCCAAACTTATAATTTTCAGAACAAATTAGAAGTTCAGTGGGCTTCTATTCTGTAGGGGAGTTTATATTAAATAAAAATTTAAGAAGTTACCGAAATTTATCTATTTGTAGAATATAATAGACTTTAAACATGTCAAATGATAGACGTGACTATGTAGAATTATACCATCATCTTCAATCGATTGACCACAGTGAATTTCGTGTTCACTTCAATTCTCAAGATCCAAGAAAGTTTCTCCAAAATAATAATATCTAGTAGATTTGTTATTATTTCCGTTATATGAAAACAATTCTAAATATCTCATATATTGAGAAATTTTTGAAAAACTTTATAGCTTTACATTTAGAATATGTGAAATAAAATAATTTTTGTATTAAAAATAGCTACAAGGATGAACTATTTAAAAAAGAAAAATCACAATATCAATCAGACAATTATTTTTTAATTGTAAATAATATTAAACAATTTAATTAATAGTTTAATATTATTAAATCTTGACACTGTAGTAAATTATTGAAATAATTTCTTTTCAAAAAAAATCTATTATAGATGGAAAATAATAGAACTTTTGCTTACTTCTTCATTTGAATACATATTATTTGTTATGAAGTAATATGAAGCAACAAATGATAACGTTCGAATTGATGTATAGTTGTTTTTTTTTTCGATACATATATATACATATGAGTCGTCAATAATTGATAATGACCTTTGTCTTTTTGGACTACAATCTATACGGTCATCTATTTTTTTTTCTTTCTGCATTTATTGTTACCCTCTGAAGTGCTTACATCGGTCATCTATTTTCTCTAATTTGTCATTAATGTTATCATATTCTTAAAAAAAAAAAAACAGAATCAAACAATTTTGACTTACGCACATTTTATCAAAATATATAATTATTTTTATATCTTAAAATGGAAATATTATCAATTACAAGATGAATGAATTTTTTTTTACTACAGATCTCTGAACGTTTCATTTCATTGAAACTATAATGATAGATCTTTGAATCTTAAAATTTTGTATAAAATTGGCTATAAATCGATTTAGAAAATTTTCTACAGATGAACAAATTGATGAGTAATTATTAGATTAGAGAACTATTCTTATGAAAATGCAAATGAAATGTACATTTTCAGAGATCAAGACTTTTATCTTCGTTATTGATAATGATTTATATAGTTGAATTATATATTCGATATATAAAGTCTTGTCAATATATCATTACTTAATTGCATATGTTAGGGAATATGAATTTGCTGCAAAATCATTTCTACGAAAAAAGCAAACAATTTATCGCAAAATCGATTATATACATCTAAAGTGATATATACCTGTAAAAGCAATAATTGGATATGGATCTTTTACCACTATAGCGGTATAAGGAATAATAGGGCAGTGAATCTTATACCACTATAGTGATATAAGACTCATACCTGAATTGTTGCTTATATCGATATATACCGCTTTAGACGTTATAATTGATTTTAGGACAAATTATTTGTTTTTTTCGTAGAAATGATTTTACCGCAAATTCATATTCGGCAACATATGATTTAAAAACTTATAAGAAAGCCGAATCGAATCGAATCGAATAGAATTGTTGTTCTGTCGAATCGAACTGATTTTAAAGAATGTATATCCTTTACCCTAAATCTGGTACCCAGAATGCATCCCTAAATCGAA